GGCAGAAGATGTCTTTCAGTCATCAATGCTCACATTCAGCGACACACAGGAGCTCTTTCAAGCTGGACACCGTTTCATTCACAACACCTGTCTCATCAACCAGGAATCAGAAATACTTTAATAATCCCAGGGAGGGATTACTTTAGTTACATTACTCCACCTGTAATAGAGTGACTATAGGACCAGTTTGATAGAACACTATTTAATACTATATATATAATTAGGGGGTTCCCGCTCCATCTCGCCATCAGTTTGGGGTCCTTGGCTGTTGTCTAGAAAACAACGTTAAAATATTCAGATCATTTTTATAACCCCGCCCCCCTGGTTCTACAACAAACTAAACAATAACAATGACTAACACACATAGTTGAGTTGAACCAGACCAGAAAACGCCTCAGGTGGCGCGTGAGGCGAGGCTCTGTAATCAGCTGTAATCTCTGGCACAGGAGCCAGGCTATCGTTAATGATGGAGCATAACATTATGACCGACTGACTCATCAGCAAAGTCTTTATCAGCAACTGATTAAAAAAAACATCCGGTTTCTCATCAGCTGCTCCGATATCACAGCCGAGCTTCTGAAAAGCGGCGGGTGAGAGCGCCGGTGTTGTTTCAAACCAGCATACCCATAGTTAATACGCATTTATCCCTGTAGTTTTGTACGAAAATACACTTTAAACTGCCTCAACAGGCGAGTATACCTTTAGTCACGCACAAAAAACTATTTAATCTAGGGATGCACGATATATTCGGCCCCCTATCGGTATCGGCCTTAAAACTGAATATCGGACATCGGCCACCCCACCGATATTTAACCCGATATTTGATCAGCTTCTGAGTTTCTAAAGTCTAAAAAAAAAAATACTACTTCTTCTTCTTCCTCAAAAACTTCTTTTTTACAGACTTAAAAACTTCTAAAGACGAGGGAAAAAATATTGATAGATTAAAATATCCCAATATCTTCATATGCTGATATATTGCCATTTAAAAACACCATATCAATCTCTTTTACTAATGAAATATTGCTCTATGTCATCGTTATGCTACGAAATCCCCCGAAAATCCACGAAATGTTGCCATATTTTTATATGTTGATATATTGACGCGGTATCGATCTATTTTACTAACAAAATCTCACAAGAATTTGCAAAATATCACGAGAGTTTGTAACAGAACCATGAAATTTCACGAGATTTTGAAAGTAAAATAGATCGATACCGCGTTTTTAAAAATCAATTTGATATCAGCATATGAAAATATATTTGAGTATATTATTTTTCAAAGTGTCAGAAATGGATAACAAAACTGCTATTTTCAATGACTACTTATTTTTGTCCAGCTTTAACATCGGTATCGATATCGGTTATCGGCTACATGAGTTTTAAAATATCGGCATATCGGATATCGGCCAAAATCCCAATATTGTGCATCCCTAATTTAATTACTTACTTTTTGGTGTTTTTTGAAGCGTATGGCGATTTTACCTTGTTTTTTTTTGTTTTTTGTACATGACTAAAGGGATAAACGCAAATCTGACGTCTTGCGCATGCGTATTGACTATGGGTGTGCCGGTCTGACAGAACTACGGGACTTTACCACATGGTTCTAAAGAACAGAATTTATGCACCAACTTTATGTTTATTTTCAAATCTAGTGTCAGTTTCAGTGAACAAATCTCTTTATTTATATATTGTTTCCAGTCCTTTCTAGAACAATCCTTCAGATAGAATTTAAATAGCTCTCATCGCAAAGCATTCTGGGATATATCTGTCTGCTCTGAGGCCTTTCTTTTCTTCATAGACACTTTTTCTCTTATGACCCTCGGCCATTTTCAAAGATGATATACGGCTGCAAGTGCGCAGAAAAAGATCGCTAGGACGGCCTTATGTAAACATGTCACCAGAATGATTGACAGTTAGGAGAACCACTTATTAAGATGATCCACCCGGAAATAAAAGATTGTCCTCTATTGCTTTAAGCACAATTATGAAATAATTAAGATCTGAACTAAAGCTTTAACAGCTGGAAAGAGGAAGTATTCTTCCTTAGCCTGCATGGAAATTACAGATGGTATTTCATTTGTTTTGACTTGATGAATGAATTTAGAACAAGAAGGCGCGGCTCTAAGTGAGTCAGCCGAGGCAAAGGGCCAAGAATAGCCGCCTTGTTCAACGAGTTTGGAGTAAAACTGGAAAAGCAGACATTAAAACGATGAAGAGGATCGCCTCTGTAATAAATACCTTTTCAAATAATAATAATAAAAACAGACGTAAGCCAAAATAAACTGATGAATGCATCTCTAATATATCCTTATTATAAAGGCGATTTGCTCTTTAACGGATCCAGGAGCTTCTGGCTGAGCGAGCAGCAGAGTCCGTCCAGGTTAGGAGGCTCGGTTCTGCTCCGACTGCCAACTCTTCTGTTTGGCTGAACAAACACAGGCGAGCACTGTGCCTTGGGATGAAGCCAGAGCCGAACCCCGCTGCCACAAAGGCCCCTCTGTGGTCTCACACAAGCAACTGTTGGCAGGGGGACGAGCCTGGAGGTCTCTCACCGCGGCCGCGGACCTGATGTACTGGGAACACAAAAGGCTCTGCCGATCCCACGCAGATCCTTCAGAGCTGAACACTTCTTCTCACACAATGGAGACCGCTCTGCGGACAGAGCTGGGACAGCCAGAGAGAGGACGGGGTCCTCCAGCACACACAGTGTTCTCTGCAGCTCTGTTTGAGAACAACGTGAACAAACAGAACCATGAGGGCCGAGGAACATGGAGACGGGTCAGGGAGAGAGTCCACAGCAGGGTTAGACTCTGATCCTGACGTGTCCTGAATCAGAGATATTCCAGAATCACTGCAGGTTCTGTAAAGCCTGCAGTCAGGAAGCTTCTACTGCTTCGCTTTGGATGGAGAAGCTGCTGAGTTACCGTGGAAACCTCCAACACACACAAAAACACACTGGCCATTTCTCAATTCACAAGAACACGAGTACGGACTCATGTTCTTGCCAAGTATGTTCATGAGAAGAACCCAGGAAAGCGTGGATGAGAATGGAAGCACGAAGCATAAATATGGATCAATTGGAACAGAAGCTTACTGATGACATCATCACACGCTCTGCTCGTCTGCAGCTGCATTTCACCTCCTGTTATTAATAGTCTCTAGATAATAATGAATTCTTACTTTCTTCATTCAGTGGGGTGATAATAATTAAGACAGATAAACACAAATGAAATTAACATTTTGCCAAAAAAAAAAAAATCGCCATCAGAGCCAGCGGTCCTTCACGCATGGCTATGCTGAGAGAGGGCTGCTGCAGACAGGCTAACGATAGCCATGGCTGCTGCAGACGGGCTAACGTCAGCCATGGCTGCTGCACACGGGGCAACGTCAGCCATGGCTGCTGCAGACGGGCTAACGATAGCCATGGCTGCTGCAGACGGGCTAACGATAGCCATGGCTGCTGCAGACGGGCTAACGATAGCCATGGCTGCTGCAGACGGGCCCACGATAGCCATGGCTGCTGCAGACGGGCCCACGATAGCCATGGCTGCTGCAGACGGGCTAACGATAGCCATGGCTGCTGCAGCCGGGCCCACGATAGCCATGGCTGCTGCAGACGGGCCCACGATAGCCATGGCTGCTGCAGACGGGCCCACGATAGCCATGGCTGCTGCAGACGGGCCCACGATAGCCATGGCTGCTGCAGATGGGCCAACGATAGCCATGGCTGCTGCAGACGGGCTAACGATAGCCATGGCTGCTGCAGCCGGGCCCACGATAGCCATGGCTGCTGCAGATGGGCCCACGATAGCCATGGCTGCTGCAGACGGGCTAACGATAGCCATGGCTGCTGCAGCCGGGCCCACGATAGCCATGGCTGCTGCAGACGGGCCCACGATAGCCATGGCTGCTGCAGACGGGCCCACGATAGCCATGGCTGCTGCAGACGGGCCAACGATAGCCATGGCTGCTGCAGACGGGCCAACGTTAGCCATGGCTGCTGCAGCCGGGCCAACGATAGCCATGGCTGCTGCAGCCGGGCCAACGATAGCCATGGCTGCTGCAGCCGGGCCAACGATAGCCATGGCTGCTGTCACCCTCAGAGGTCCACTGATTGCAGGCTCTCAAAATCTGAACTTTTTTTATATTACGCACTAAATCAGTAAATGGGCCAAACAGTGAAGCTAGTATAATGTTCTCGCCTCAAATGATCTTAAAATGTACTTTTATAAAACAACAGCAACAGAAAAGAAAAGAACTTCTAACTAAATACTCTGAGCTCTGTGAGCGCTAATCTGGAAACTGCTGCTGCTGCAGTGCATGCTGGGAAAGCTGTCAATATCAAGAACAGCTGGGTAAAAATGGCGGGGTGAGAATTGTCACTACGCGATCCGTCCTGCTCACGTGTGAACAGAATATGATCCGGGTCACCGAAAACGATGTAATAACGGTACTGGAAATACTAAATTCTATACTTTAAACAATAAATAATGCTAAATTACAAAGCATAGAAAAAATGGAAGACTTTTTCTATAAGAAATTGATACGTTTTACATTCTCTCCATTGTATTGCGTGCGTCATCATCGGGCATGCTCAGAGCAGTCACAGTAACGTTCGAAAGGCTATTTAAGTGTACTGCTTCTTTTCGTTTTTAGATTATGCAATATTTACGCAAGTACAAAAATATTCAAAGGAACCACCCCGCCTGAAAAAAACAAAAGAATGAACAAAGTATTGCCTACCTAAGAAAAGCACTGGAAAAGCACTAAGGCTGAGGCTGATGACGTTTCACAAGCACACGAGAGCACACTAGTACACAAATAGAGAAACGGCCACTGGGAGCTCTTACAGGACAGGAAGTCAAAATAAACAGGAGTCAGGGATGGTTTGATGTGTATCCAGGGAGCCACAGTCTGCAGCAGCTTTCATTATCAGTAGCGGTCAATAAATCCGAAGCCCACAGACCCAGGCGGCAGCGTCTGGCCTCGGCGGTTCCTACCTGAGCAGAGGATGCCTTTATGCCTCGCGCAGGAGAAGTCGTCGCACTCGCAGAAGCTCCCGTAGATCTTCCCGAACTCCGACTCATAGCAGAGGCACTGGTTGCAGCTGCACTCGCCTCGCCCGCTGCACAGCTGCTTGCCCTCGGCTTCCCGGCAGGCGCTGAGGTACATGCTGCTGGCCTCGCCCTCCTGGCACTCGCAGCGGGCCCCCAGGTACCCCGGCTCACACTGACAGGTGCCGCAGTGGTAGGTTCCTGAGGGGTAAAGCGTTTGGACCGTTAGCAGTCACTCTGCTCCGTTTATTTCTCAGAAATGATCTGCTAAGAAGCTCCTCATCCTCAAGGTTTCTTTTTCACAGCAGAATGTCCTGATTTCTCTTCAGTCCTGCTCCTTTACTGCACTTTCCCAAAAAAAATAGACAGGATGTAAGAGGAGGCAGCTTAAAAACATATGTTTAAGAGTAATTCTGCACCTCAATTACTATTATTATGCCCAAAAAACAAGCATGTGGGAGAATCTGTCCCTCATGTCAGGGAAAGTAGAATTTAACTGAAGCAGCTTTGGGAGTTTCTCGGATGTTGAAGACGAGCCGGGAGGAAGCAGGAAAACTTCTACCTAAATCTCCTCATGAACTTCTTCACATTATGGCGACTAAACCCAGAGAAAAGGTGTCCGATTTTCAATTAAAGATAAAGTCATCCAGGTCATAGTCATTCCAAAAAAGGTTAAAGAACACTGGACTTAGTTTGGCCTCCCATCCAGGAAGCTTTTTCAATTTAAAATATAAGAAATAGCAAGTTTGAGGCTTTATAGAGTGTGTTAGCTTCAGAAAATTGTGGGTTCATATAGGACAAAAAATGAATCTGACACACCGAGGGATTTTCAAACAGCTTCCTGCAGGAGGAGAAAGGCTGCCTGCTCACATTTCATTTTTATTAACAGATCACAACAGGATGGGGTGGGTCTTGCGACAGAATGACCCTGTAATGACCTTCTGGCTGGAGGCAGGTCTTCAATGTTTCATATCTACACACATTAACTGTCTTCAATAAACCTAACAGAGTGGACCAAAAACACTTTGTTTTGGCCTAGAAAACATGCAAACTGAACCGGAAGTAAAGGGTCCGCCTCTTTGGAATGGGGGTTATTTGAGGTCTTTGTTAGCCTCTAATACCCCATACCTGTCTATGTCCCTGAAAGGGGGTCGTTAGAGGGAATTGTTGGTCTGGCTGAAACAGGAAAACAATTTGCATGTTTTCATATCCAAACCAAAGTGTTTTTGGTCCACTCTACAGGTGCTGGTCATAAAATTAGAATATCATGAAAAAGTAGATTGATTTCAGTAATTCCATTTAAAAAGTGAAACTTGTATATTATATTCATACATTACATACAAACTCATATATTTCAGATGTTTATTTTTGTTTAATTTTGATGATTACAAATGACAACAAATGAAAATCTCAAATTCATCATATCAGAAAATTAGAATATTACTGAAGACCAATAAAAACAAAGGATTTATAGAAATGTTGGCCAACTGAAAAGTATGAACATGAAAAGTATGAGCATGTACAGCACTCAGTATTTAGTTGGGCCTCCTTTGGCCTGTATTACTGCAGCAATGCGGCGTGGCATGGAGTCGATCAGTCTGTGGCACTGCTCAGGTGTTATGATAGCCCAGGTTGCTCTAATAGTGGCTTTTAGCTCTTCTGAATTGTTGGGTCTGGTGTATTGCATCTTCTTCTTCACAATACCCCATAGATTTTCTATGGGGTTAAGGTCAGGAGAGTTTGCTGGCCAATTAAGAACAGGGATACCATGGTCCTTCAACCAGGTACTGGTAGCTTTGGCACTGTGTGCAGGTGCCAAGTCCTGTTGGAAAATGAAATCTGCATCTCCAAAAAGTTGGTCAGCTGCAGGAAGCATGAAGTGCTCTAAAACTTCCTGGTATGTGGCTGCGTTGACCCTGGACCTCAGAAAACACAATGGACCAACACCAGCAGATGACATGGCACCCCAAACCATCACTGACTGTGGAAACTTTACACTGGACTTCAAGCAACGTGGATGAAGTGCCTCTCTTCTTTTCCTCCAGACTCTGGGCCCTTGATTTCCAAAGGAAATGCAAAATTTACTTTCATCAGAGAACATGACTTTGGACCACTCACCAGCAGTCCAGTCCTGTTTCTCTTTAGCCCAGGCAAGACGCTTCTGACGCTGTCTGTGGTTCAAGAGTGGCTTGACACAAGGAATGCGACAGCAGAAACCCATGTCTTTCATACGTCTGTGTGTGGTGGTTCTTGAAGCACTCACTCCAGCTGCAGTCCACTCTTTGTGAATCTCCCCCACATTTTTGAATGGGTTTTGTTTCACAATCCTCTCCAGGGTGCGGTTATCTCTCTTGCTTGTACACTTTTTTCGACCACATCTTTTCCTTCCCTTCGCCTCTCTATTAATGTGCTTGGACACTGAGCTCTGTGAACAGCCAGCCTCTTTAGCGATGACCTTTTGTGTCTTGCCCTCCTTGTGCAAGGTGTCGATGGTCGTCTTTTGGACAACTGTCAAGTCAGCAGTCTTCCCCATGATTGTGTAGCCTATAGAACTAGACTGAAAGACCATTTAAAGGCTTTTGCAGGTGGTTTGAGTTAATTAGCTGATTAGAGTGTGGCACCAGGGGCCATCAATTTTGAACCTTTTCACAATATTCTAATTTTCTGATATGATGAATTTGAGATTTTCATTTGTTGTCATTTGTAATCATCAAAATTAAACAAAATAAACATCTGAAATATATGAGTTTGTATGTAATGTATGAATATAATATACAAGTTTCACTTTTTAAATGGAATTACTGAAATCAATCTACTTTTTCATGATATTCTAATTTTATGACCAGCACCTGTATAAATCCTCAAACTCTCGAACTGTTTCTCACGCTTTGAATTAAAAAAGCTTCCAGGATGGGAAGAAAAGCGTCTTCAAAGTTTCGTGTCCAGTGGATTGTTGTTTTTTTAAACTTTTTTATTGAAAGAAAAACTTTTTTTAAAGTTACAACAAAGAATTAAGTCTGGACTTTGCACTGGAAAAAAAATCTAAATCAAGATAAGTAATTTTTCCTTAAAATAAATGCATTTGTTCTTGGTTTGAGGAGCTAAAAGAGACACCTTGTCAGTGGAACAAGAAAATTTACATTTAAAATAAGAAAACACAATTGCATTGTCTTATTTCAAGTGCATGTTATCTAATTATCATATTTTAAGAGTAAAAATACTAAACCCATTGGCAAACTATCTCATTTACCTACTCAAATTAAGGATAAGTACACTTCATGAAAAACATTTTTACTTATTTCTAGATCATTTTTCCAGTGTGACTAGACCGGGGGTCTGCAACCTTTCATATCCAAAGAGCCGTTTTGCCCCAAGTAAAGCTTGTTTTTAGAGCCGCAAAATACAACAGGACTTTTTATAAAAAAAATCTTTTTTTTTTTTTTTACCCTTTAGAGGGCACTATTTTAAAAAACTTTAAATATCTAAATTCCAAGCAAAGAGTGCACTGCAAATAACCGAAATAAAATAAGTGCATTTTTTCTTGAATTGAGCAGGTAAGCGACACACTTTGCCAATGGAACAAGTAAATGTACATTTAAAATAAGGAAAAGAAAGCAGTCTCCTTTTTCAAGTGTATAATATCAAAAAAACGGATTTTAAGGATAAAAATGCGACTTATTTACCTACTCAAATTAAGGGTGAATACACTTATTTTAAGACATTTTCACTCATTTTTAGATCGTGTGTTATTGGAATCCAGGACAAGACCTTATTACCTTTGAAACATTAAAAAAAAATATGGATATTTTGGTGGCAGAAATGAATGCCAATGTAATAACAAGAAACACCAACTTTCCCGAATATATTAAGAAAAATAAAAATGCTTCTATAAGAAATTTGTGACAAACACTCTGAGAGTGAAAAAAACACAATTTGTTAGGTACAACATAACCTTAGAGGCTTACGAACCTTTTAACTTTACTTTTTAACTTTTCAAGAAGTTTTTTGGGGCTCCATTTGTAAGGGGTTAGCCTCGTGAGACCATCCTGATCTCGCGAGCTTTCAAGGTTTCACTCGCAGATCAGTCTGGAGACTCTCCGTTAAAGAAAATTTGAAGCCGTTCACCAAACGAACGTCCAATCAGCGTTGGCTTTGAGGCGGGTTGAGGTGTGACGCAACGAGAAGCGCGACAGTTCAGTCTAAAGAACATGGCGGCTTCAGCCGATGAAACTAGCGTTAGCGTGGCTATCGAGCAAGTTTTATCGGAATTACAGAGTATTTCTTCACTGAAAGAAGAGCAAAACACTGCTCTGGAGGCTTTTCTCAGAGGAAAAGATGTTTTTGCTCTTCTCCCGACTGGTTTCAGCAAGAGTTTGATCTATCAATTGGCTCCTCTTCGTCGTTGCTCTGTTAGTACGTCATATGCTTCGTTGATCTGATTGGTTTATTTGGCCCGTCTATCACCAACATAGGCCAATCAGCTAACCAGTATTTTCGCCCCTTCCCAAAATTACTTCTACGGAAGGTTTCCAGATGGAAATGCGGAGCAAATCCATCTGGCGGAGTCAGGTTAGTAAGGGGTATGCAAGTGATCAAAAATGGTAACTTGCCCTATAAAGCGTTAATCTCGTATAGGAAATTAGTGTCCATCTCAAACAAAACAACAATATATTTATTTTTTGCTATTAAAATGTCATTAAAACATTTAATTTCCAACCTAATTAAAAGAACAATGGCTCTTAAAAATATTTCGGTTCTTTTAATCTAATTTTTTTTCCTATCTTATAAAAAAAACACTAAAGCTTTTGATAAGGGTATTTAGTAAAATACAGTATTTAGCTCTTTACATTTTAGCCGCTATTAAGAGCTGCTGGAGAGTGTCTAAAAGAGCCGCAGGTTGCAGAACGCTGCACTAGAACATTCGATGCTCATGATACGCCTTCATCTAAACCAGAGTCCATCGGGGAGGTGACCCTCTGTCACATTAAACGCCACTAAAATAACTTTCTTTGGTCATACGGTTAAAGAATGAATCTATTTGTCGGATGATGTTTGATATACTCATGTGAAGATAGAAAAAAAGGGAGAAAAACAATCTGAGCTGCTTTGCTGAGCGAGCAGCTGAAATGACAGGATATCAGGTCTCCACAATAAAAGCTGCTGTGAAATCTCTTCAGGCTGCAGCAGTCAGGAGCCATCAAAGGAGGTTTAGAGAAGGAAAACCTGGGAAGGTTCACTCAAGGTTCACTGCTGATCCCAGGCGTGGAAGATAGAGGAGGAGCTTCTGCTTCTCCAACCAGCTGGATTCATATGGAAGAAAAACTGATTCACTGGAATCTACCTTTTTTTGTTCTGGTAAAAATTTGCATGCAAAATATTTGACTAAAAATGTGTTTACCTTTCTGTGAACTCAAGCCAACGCACTTACCAATGAAATTAGCTAAAATATTACCAAAAAAATACCTTTTTTTGAAATAAATATTCAAAAATGTTCAACTTTGTGTGTTGGCTGTTTGGGAAGACATGGAGAAGATGGATCTTTCCTGTTACACTGCAAAAACCATCTAAAAATGAGAAAAATGTCTTAAATTAAGTGTATTTACCATTAATTTGAGGAGGTAAATAAGATAATTAGATAATATTCACTTGAAATAAGACAATGTAATTGTGTTTTCTTATTTTAAATGTAAATTGTCTTGTTTCATTGGCAAAGTGTCTCAATTACCTCTTTATTGCAAGAAAAAATGACTTATTTAGATTTGAATTTTTTGCAGTGTATGATCAGGCCACCAGTAGACGGGTTGTAACAGGAGGTTTTAACCAGATGTGTTTTATATGTTCTGCAGAATAAATGCAATTTGAAAATATTTTTCACACTTAAAAGTTGACTTTAAACTAGCTTTCGGTGGGAGGGATCTGCGATTTTAAATCTAGCAATAACTGTGAAAAATTTAACCACAGAAATTTTCTCTGTTTTCATAGAAAAAAATAATTTTACTTTATCATTTAGGTTTAGATTTAATAAAAAGCACAGAAGCAGGCTTGTCCTGGTGAAGATTCTCAGTCATCCAGGTCAGAGTCATTCCAAAAAAGTTAAAAACAATCCTCTGGAGTTTGTTTCCAAGTTTGAGGACGTTTCTACGGTGGCCCTGAAGTGCAAACTGCAACTACAAATCTAAAAGCGCAACTACATTAAGGAAATCGCAACTACATAAAGCAAAGCGCAACTACATTAACCTACCGGAAAAGGTACACTGGAAAAACGATCTACAAATAAGTAAAACTGTCTCAAATTAAGTGTATTTACCCTTAACTTTAGTAGGTTAATGAGATGATTTGCCAATGGAATGAGTATTTTTACTCATAAAATAAGATATTTAGATAAAATGCACTTGAAATAATAAAAATGCAATTGTGTTTCCTTATTCAAATGTAAATTGTCTTGTTCCATTGGCAAGATGTCTGTTATACCTTCTCAATTAAAGAACAAATGCACTTAATTGAAGAAAAAAAATGACTTACCTAGATTTGGATTTTTTCCAGTGTAGGTACCAGTGGGAAACATGAGACATCGCTGATTGGACGACGGCGCCGTTTGACCCTTGAACCGGAAGTTGCGTCGTCTGAACAGTCCAGCTTCTTTTAAGTGTGTCTTCAGTGTACGCAAACTAACTGAAATTTGGTGATTAGTCTTGAGCATATCCAGTATCACCTCGTACGTATGTCCTGATTCAAAATATTCCTGGATAACGGCAGCTATGTTTGGGGCGCCGACAATATCCATGTTTTCAAAAGCCGCAGCAGGCAGAATGACTTCCGGTTCAAGGGTCAAACGACGCCGTTGTCCAATCAGCGATGTCTCATGTTTCTCACTGGTACCTACCTTTTCCGGTAGGTTAACGTTATTGTGTTTTACTTAGTGTAGTTGCGCTTTGCTTTATGTAGTTGCGCTTTTAGATTTGTAGTTGCAGTTTGCACTTCAGGGCCACCGTACATTTCTCTTCCATCCAGGAAGCTTTTTGAATTCAAAACATCAGGAATAGCGTTGAGTTCTAGGTTTTATCCAGCAGCCCAACAAAGCCTGGTTTTGGTTTAGAAAACATGCAAATAGAAACGGACGAACGGGTCCGCCCCTTTGGAATGGGGGTCATTTGGGTTCTTTGTTAGCCTGCAGTGCCCCATACCTGTCTATGCCTCTGAAAGGGGGGTTGTTAGGGAGAAATGTTGGTCTGGCTGAACAGGCAAAGTGTTCTTTACCCCTGTAAGGTTGGTTTTACTTTCTTAACATCGATGGCTTCCTTCACACTCCTGGTTGGAACATTCTGGTCCTCCAAAGAATGTGGAGGAGCAGAATGATCACTGGTCCGCTCTATAAAACCTGGAACTCAACGCTATTTCTGACATTTTGAATTAAAAAAGCTTCCTGGATGGGAAGCAAAACGTCTTCAAACTTGGAACTAAAGTCCAGTGGATTGTTTTTTTTTTTTACTTTTTTGGAAGAAGCAGGTTTGTTTACTGTAGATGAAAACGCACAAGTACACATCTAACCTCTCTAGCTCTGTGTTCTCAGAGGAAGCGTTCAGTTTAATGATTCATGCTGATTTCTGGGCTCTGAGCTTCAGCTTCCTGTTGCAGGTTTGACACTTTCCCACAGCTTCAGTTTCCTGTGTTTATTCACACCTTTCTCTAATAATAGCAAAGACAAGCAACAAGCTTCTGTTCATGTAACGAGTCATTTACTTTTTAAATAATAATACATTTTATAAATAGTGAGGTTAGTTAAAAATGAAGAGAATCTCTCTTCCTGCAGCTGTAAAGGCTGAACAGATCACGCTACACTGGAAAAACGATCTAGAAATAAGTAATTTCTTAAATTCAGTGTATTTACCCTTAATTTGAGTAGGTAAATTAGATAGTTTGCCAATGGAATGAGTATTTTTACTCTTAAAATAAGATTATTAGATAAAATGCACTTAAAATAAGACAATGTAATTGTGTTTTCTTATTTAAGGAGTAAATTGTCTTGTTCCATTGGCAAAATGTCTCTTTTATCTCTTCAATTCAAAAACAAATGCACTTATTTTAAGAAAAACTGACTTATCTAGATTGTGATTTCTTGCAGTGTAAGCCCGCCCCAGCCTGCAACCAAAGAGAAAGCTGTGATGGTACCGATGGAGCTGCAGATGCTGCTGTTGGTCTGGGCCGTCCGGCTGCAGCCGCAGTCGCACTGATAATCCACAGACACCTCCAGGCGGTCCTTGAAGCCCACCGGCTTTATGGTGAAGGTCTGGGTGGTGCCGCGGGGCGGGCAGCTCCTCGCCTCCACGCTCACGTTGAAGGACACCTACAGAGAGGACAGATGATCGCAGGAGTGAGAAGACGATCCGTGGATATGACCCCCAGCCTGGGCGCTTAGAAAGTGAGACTCAGAACCAATAAAGATTTGGCGCCATTCTGCTGTTCTTAGCAAACGGGCTGAAGCATCTCAGCCTTGAAAGAGAAGCTCAACAGACAGGCGCCCCTCCGGTTCTGACATAACGGACTAATTAAGGGTGTCGGTCCACTTCCCACAGCCTGGTTTATACACACCCTGCTGAGCTGGATGTTAGAATGGGATGCAAGGAGGAAAGTTTTACTTTGGGATCTAAAGGAAAAGTTAAAAATGTCGCCTCAGAGAATTAGGAAAACCCATCAGGTTCCTGCTGACGCCAAACGATTTTATTCAGTAACTTTGGAAACCTTCTGTTATCCCCAACGCCTCGAGCCGCAGATCAGCGTCACATCTGTGGTTTCCATGGCGTTCCACCAGTTTTATAACCTGACTCCGCCAGATGGATTTGCTCCGCATATCCATCTGGAAACCTTCTGTTGAAGTAATTTTGGGAAGGGGCGAAAATACTGGTTAGCTGATTGGCCTATGTTGGTGATAGACGGGCCAAATAAACCAATCAGATCAACCAAGCATATGACGTACTAACAGAGCGACGACGAAGAGGAGCCAATTGATAGATCAAACTCTTGCCGAAACCAGTCGGGAGAAGAGCAAAAACATCTTTTCCTCTGAGAAAAGCCTCCAGAGCAGTGTTTTGCTCTTCTTTCAGTGAAGAAATACTCTGTAATTCCGATAAAACTTGCTCGATAGCCACGCTAACGCTAGTTTCATCGGCTGAAGCCGCCATGTTCTTTAGACTGAACTGTCGCGCTTCTCGTTGCGTCACACCTCAACCCGCCTCAAAGCCAACGCTGATTGGACGTTCGTTTGGTGAACGGTGTCATTACCCGATCCGTACCGGAAGCACGATCTGTACCATCAGCTCATTTGCGCGTGCACAAACAGAATAACTTCCGGTGGCAATATTTCCTTTTTCTTACTTTTTTATTCTTTTGTATTTTTTAGAGGCATGGGTTTCTTTTTGTATATCTTTGTATTTTCGTCAATATTGCATTTTCTAAAAATAAAAAAACAGAAATACATAAAAAAGTTCAATCGCATGGTGATAGTTACTTTGACTGCTCTGAGCATGCGCAAATATACGTCGCACAGCGTATATATTTAAATTTGTTTAAATATTTGATTTACTCTGTACTTAACTATGCACTCCAGCAGTACTGATCCCACAATGGATTCATTTGCTACCTTTCGTGACCTGCAGTTTTTCATTGATAAGGGAACATTTCCCGAAAATTTGGATTTTTATTCCAGAAAAATGACGTCAAGCAAAACAATGGATTGAATTTAAAAAGCATCCATTTCTTCCAGAAAAGTCTTCAATATTGTCTTTACGATGTAGTTTAGTATTCTTTAATTATTTAAGGATATAAATAAAGTTTTTTCAGTATCGTGATTACATTATTTTTTGGCGACCCGGAAGTTATTCTGTTCGCGCAGGCGCAAATGAGCTGATGGTACGGATCGGGTAGCGACAAACGGCTCCAAATTTTCTTCAATGGAGAGTCTCCAGACTGATTAGCGAGTGAAACCTTGAAAGCTCGCGAGATCAGGATGGTTCTCACGAGGCTACCAGTTTTAGGTCCTGTTGCATTATTTTGATGGGAGAGTCCATTTCCAGCCATGTTAAGAGTTCATCAGTCTGATGAGAACCATTATTCACTATTAAATTAAGGGTGTTACATTGCAATAACAAGCTTTGAATCAATCTGACTGGATGATCTGGTGAACTGTAAAGTGCTTTGAGATGACATGTGTTGTGAATTGGTGCTATAGAAATAAACCGAATTCAATTTTTGTGCAGGTGAGACGGGCAGTTATTAAGCTAAAAATGCACAAAAGATTTTAACATTTTTTGTTTAACATAAAAATCCTTCCGCACAGTTTCAGCTGCTTTGTTGAGGTACATCTATTTACTTTGTTTCTTTCTTTTGAATAATCGATTATTCAAAAACGCAGTCAACAGATTAACGGATGTCTGCAGCCTTATTCTATTCTTACAGGGGGAGTGACGGCCTAGTGGTTACACTGGAAAAAATCTAAATCTAGATAAGTCATTTTTTTCTTAAAATAAGTGCATTTGTTCTTAAATTGAGAATGTATAACAGACATTTTGCCAATGGAACAAGACAATTAACATTTAAATAAGGAAACACAATTGCATTTTTATTATTTCGAGTGCATTTTTATAGGGATGCAGGATATTGGGATTTTGGCCGATATCCGATATGCCGATATTTTAAAACTCATGTAGCCGATAACCGATATCGATACCGATGTTAAAGCTGGACAAAAATAAGTAGTCATTGAAAATAGCAGTTTTGTTATCCATTTCTGACACTTTGAAAAATAATATACTCAAATATACACTATATTGCCAAAAGTATTTGCTCACCTGCCTTGACTCACATATGAGCTTAAGTGACATCCCGTTCCTAATCCATAGGGTTCAATATGACGTCGGTCCACCCTTTGCAGCTAGAACAGCTTCAACTCTTCTGGGAAGGCTGTCCACAAGGTTTAGGAGTGTGTTTATGGGAATTTTTGACCATTCTTCCAGAAGCGCATTTGTGAGGTCGCACACTGATGTTGGACGAGAAGGCCTGGCTCTCAGTCTCCGCTCTAATTCATCCCAAAGGTGTTCTATCGGGTTGAGGTCAGGACTCTGTGCAGGCCAGTCAAGTTCATCCACACCAGACTCTGTCATCCATGTCTTTATGGACCTTGCTTTGTGCACTGGTGCACAGTCATGTTGGAAGAGGAAGGGGCCAGCTCCAAACTGTTCCCACAAAGTTGGGAGCATGGAATTGTCCAAAATGTCTTGGTATGCTGAAGCATTCAGAGTTCCTTTCACTGGAACTAAGGGGCCAAGCCCAGCTCCTGAAAAACAACCCCACACCATAATCCCCCCTCCACCAAACTTTACACTTGGCACAATGCAGTCAGACAAGTACCGTTCTCCTGGCAACCGCCAAACCCAGACCCGTCCATCAGATTGCCAGATGGAGAAGCGCGATTCGTCACTCCAGAGAACGCGTCTCCACTGCTCTAGAGTCCAGTGGCGGCGTGCTTTACACCACCGCATCCGACGCTTTGCATTGCACTTGGTGATGTATGGCTTGGATGCAGCTGCTCGACCATGGAAACCCATTCCATGAAGCTCTCTGCGCACTGTTCTTGAGCTAATCTGAAGGCCACATGAAGTTTGGAGGTCTGTAGTGATTGACTCTGCAGAAAGTTGGCGACCTCTTCGCACTATGCGCGTCAGCATCCGCTGACCCCGCTCCGTCAGTTTACGTGGCCTACCACTTCGTGGCTGAGTTGCTGTCGTTCCCAAACACTTCCATTTTCTTATAATACAGCTGACAGTTGACTGTGGAATATTTAGGAGCGAGGAAATTTCACGACTGGATTTGTTGCACAGGTGGCATCCTATCACAGTTCCACGCTGGAATTCACTGAGCTCCTGAGAGCGACCCATTCTTTCACAAATGTTTGTAAAAACAGTCTGCATGCCTAGGTGCTTGAATTTATACACCTGTGGCCATGGAAGTGATTGGAACACCTGATTCCAATAATTTGGATGGGTGAGCAAATACTTTTGGCAATATAGTGTATTTTCATATGCTGATATCAAATCGATTTTTAAAAACGGGTTATCGATCTATTTTACTTTCAAAATCTCGTGAAATTTCATGGTTCTGTTACAAACTCTCGTGATATTTTGCAAATTCTTGTGAGATTTTGTTAGTAAAATAGATCGATACCGCGTCAATATATCAACATATAAAAATATGGCAACATTTCGTGGATTTTCGGGGGATTTCGTAGCATAACGATGACATAGAGCAATATTTCATTAGTAAAAGAGATTGATATGGTGTTTTTAAATGGCAATATATCAGCATATGAAGATATTGGGATATTTTAATCTATCAATATTTTTTCCCTCGTCTTTAGAAGTTTTTAAGTCTGTAAAAAAGAAGTTTTTGAGGAAGAAGAAGAAGTAGTATTTTTTTTTTTAGACTTTAGAAACTCAGAAGCTGATCAAATATCGGGTTAAATATCGGTGGGGTGGCCGATGTCCGATATTCAGTTTTAAGGCCGATACCGATAGGGGGCCGAATATATCGTGCATCCCTAGATTAAATAGTTTTTTGTGCGTGACTAAAGGTATACTCGCCTGTTGAGGCAGTTTAAAGTGTATTTTCGTACAAAACTACAGGGATAAATGCGTATTAACTATGGGTATGCTGGTTTGAAACAACACCGGCGCTCTCACCCGCCGCTTTTCAGAAGCTCGGCTGTGATATCGGAGCAGCTGATGAGAAACCGGATGTTTTTTTTAATCAGTTGCTGATAAAGACTTTGCTGATGAGTCAGTCGGTCATAATGTTATGCTCCATCATTAACGATAGCCTGGCTCCTGTGCCAGAGATTACAGCTGATTACAGAGCCTCGCCTCACGCGCCACCTGAGGCGTTTTCTGGTCTGGTTCAACTCAACTATGTGTGTTAGTCATTGTTATTGTTTAGTTTGTTGTAGAACCAGGGGGGCGGGGTTATAAAAATGATCTGAATATTTTAACGTTGTTTTCTAGACAACAGCCAAGGACCCCAAACTGATGGCGAGATGGAGCGGGAACCCCCTAATTATATATATAGTATTAAATAGTGTTCTATCAAACTGGTCCTATAGTCACTCTATTACAGGTGGAGTAATGTAACTAAAGTAATCCCTCCCTGGGATTATTAAAGTATTTCTGATTCCTGGTTGATGAGACAGGTGTTGTGAATGAAACGGTGTCCAGCTTGAAAGAGCTCCTGTGTGTCGCTGAATGTGAGCATTGATGACTGAAAGACATCTTCTGCCTCCATTTATCTGTTTACTACAGT